CATTTGTTGTGAGAAGCGGGTTGTACCGGTGGAAATGCATGCCTTTTGGGCTGTGCAATGCCCCGGCGACATTTGAGCGGCTCATGGAAAAGGTCATGGCCGGTTTGCAGTGGGAAATCCTACTGATTTATTTGGATGACATCATCGTGTTTGGTCAGTCGGTGATGGAGACCCTAGAACGTCTCCGAGTTGTGTTGGACAGGCTAAGAAACGCTGGGCTTAAACTCAAGCCCAGCAAGTGTCATTTGTTTCGGAGGTCGGTGGCTTACCTAGGGCACATTGTGTCCTCAGAAGGGGTAGCAACAGATCCTCAGAAGATTGAGGCAGTGGCAAATTGGCCGGTTCCAAGGTGTGTACGAGATGTGCGAAGCTTTTTAGGCCTCGCATCGTACTACCGGAAGTTCATAAAGGGGTTTGCAGAAGTGGCGAGTCCACTTCATGCGTTAACCGAGAAGTCAAGAGAATTTGTGTGGACTGAGAGTTGTCAAGAGGCATTTGACGAGCTGAAGGGCAGGCTTCAAGCCGCCCCAGTTTTATCATATCCAATGCCCGAGGGTGACTTCATCCTGGACACCGATGCCAGTGGTGAAGGTATCGGGGCAGTGTTGTCGCAGGTTCAGGGTGGTGATGAAAAAGTGCTTGCGTATGCGAGCCGGAAGCTCAGCAAACCTGAGCGAAATTACTGTGTCACTCGTAAAGAGTTGTTGGCTGTGGTTGTGTACTTGAAGTATTTCAAACAATACTTGTACGGCCGCAGGGTGACGGTCAGAACTGACCATGCCGCATTGCGGTGGGTACTTAATTTTAAGAACCCCGAGGGTCAGCTGGCGAGGTGGATTGAGGTCATGTCTCAATATGACTTGGTCATTGAGCACAGGAGTGGCAAGAAGCATGGCAATGCTGATGGGTTGTCGAGACGGCAATGCAAACAGTGCGGCCGTGAGGAGGTGGTCAAGGAGGATGAGGCAACTGGTGTAGTACCCGAGGTTCAGCCTCGGGGGAGTGAGTTTTTGGTTAGGGGCGTAGCTGCCCAACCAACCCTGTCTCGCAGTGCTTTAAAGGAAGCACAGTCACAGGATGACACCATGAGTTGGCTCATAAAGTTGAAGGAGGACGGTGATGGTCGTCCTGAGTGGAAGATGGTTTCGCACTTGTCGGCAGCCTGTAAGACCTATTGGTCACAGTGGGACCAGTTAGAGGTCCGAGATGGAGTTCTACATAGGAGGTGGGACTCCGACGACGGAAAGTCCATCCGGTGGCTGTTGGTTTTGCCACTGAAGTTTCGGAAGGAAATTCTGTCGGAGTTGCATGGTGGGCAACTTAGTGGTCATTTGGGGGTCAGCAAAACTCTGGCCAAAGTCAAAGCCAGGTACTTCTGGCCAGGCATGTCTGCGGACGTGCGGTCTTTTCTCCGAGGTTGCAATGTCTGTGCCAGGAGAAAGTCTGCTGCTAAGAAGAGGGTTGCGCCCCTACAGCAGTATCGAGTTGGTGTTCCGATGGAGCGAGTAGCAATAGACTTGCTCGGGCCATTGCCCGTCACGGACAATGGTAATCGTTGGGTGATGGTGGTTGGCGACTACTGCACTAAGTGGATGGAAGCATTTCCGCTTCCTGACGCTACTGCAGTTACAGTCGCGCACACTTTGGTGACTGAGTTTGTCTGTCGATTCGGGGTGCCCCAAGAACTTCACTCTGATCAGGGCACAAACTTTGAGTCAGAAGTGTTCAGGGAAATGTGCCAAATTCTCGGCATTTCGAAAACCCGGACAACCGCCTATAATCCGAAATCGGACGGCATGGTTGAGAGGTTTAACAAAACCTTGGTCAACATCGTGGCGATGCTCCTTGACCCTAGGCGTAGGCAGAAGGACTGGGATGAGTTCCTCCCCTTTGCGACCTTCGCTTATAGGTGCACGCCGCAAGACTCAATTGGGGAATCGCCCAACATGATGATGTTGGGGCGAGAGGTGAGTGTCCCAGTGGATCTGGTGACAGGGTGTCCTGCGATTGAGGTGGAAGCCACTGCAGACTTCGCTGAAACATTGCGAAGTAATATGCAGGAGGCCCACAATAGGGCGAGGAATTGTCTCGGGAAAAGTGCCCGGAGGCAAAAGAAGAATTTTGATAGGAGAGCGGCTCAACATGGGTTGAAGGAGGGCCAATTTGTGTGGCTACACAACCCTGCGAAGAAAAAGCACATGTCCCCCAAGCTACAACTTAGGTGGGAAGGACCATGGCTTGTTGTCAAGAAGTTGTCAGATGTGACAGTTCGGATCCAGCTTAGGCGTGGTGGTAAACTAAAGGTGGTTCATGTAGACCGACTAAAACCGTATGTCGGTGAGGCAATCGAACCGTGGGATTGTCAGTCCAGGGGTGAGGTGACAGAAAGCCTCCCCAAGGATGCAATCCCCGAGGTTCAAGATGACAGAGAGTCGTCAGAGGAGTTGGTCGAAGTGGCCGAAGATGATGTTCCTGTGGAGGATTCCATCACAGAAGATTTGAGTCCAAGTAGTCCAGCCGATCAGTCAGAACGGCAGGATGAGTCACCGCCAAGACGGTACCCAAGACGGGCCCACAAATTGCCCCTGCGGTATCGTTAGAGTCCAGACTTGTTGTTGAGGTCATCTAAGGGATGAGGCTCCAGTCTCCCCTAGTTCATCCCCCGCATTCCTGCATCCCCTACTCGAAGAGTTGGCGAGAGCATCCCAGCCACGCCCAGAAGTGTCCCATTCCAGAGAGACATCCCCCTCGTTGAAGATGAGGACGGCAACTGTGCGGTTCCAGTCATCACCTCAGGCGTGGCCGGATGGCAACATTATCGTCTCCGAAGAGAACTACCGGATGAGCTACAAGCAAGTGTCCGTTGATGAGAACGGGCGTCCCGTCGAGAAGTAAACGACGTGTTACAGTTTAATGGGTTTTTTTGTTTAACTAAGGTTTCTAAAGTTTTCTAAGGTTTTAATCAGTTCCAAGTTCTTAAATGTTTTCTTAAAAGTTTTGTTGAAAGTTTCATAAATGTTTTTATACAAGTTTATTGTCGGTTAAGAAAAAAAAAATGTATATAATTTAATTGGAAAATCCGTTGTTTAAACTCTGTAAAATTTATCCCAGTTAAATCATGTAAATTTCGATTTGCGAAAATCTTGCCATCCAATTTAGTGTACATTTCATCAGTCTTAAATTATCCTTAAATTTCTGCCTTTAATCTGTGTAAAATAAGTGCAAATTTCCCCCTTAATTTTTGTGTGAATATTTAATGAATTAAAATTTGAGCCAGACGAGTGTAATTTTCCTTAAATTTCTTGTGAATATTTAATGAGCAAAAATGTGATTCAGATGCTGTACGATAATTACCTGTGAAATCTTGTGAATATTTAATTAGCAAATTTTGGTGAAGTTGGACATGTACATGGATTTTCGACACGTTGTACTATGCACTTAGAATCTTGTGCATATTTAATGAGCTGAAATTTTGGTGTTCTTGCACATGTGGAACACTTGTACATGTAAGTTACATGTAGGTAGGGTACATGTTATATTTTGCACATGCTAAGCACATGTGCACATGTAAAGTACATGTAGGGAAAGTACATGTTAAATTTTGTGAATATTTAATGAATTTTGAAATCAGCTCCCCCCCTTATGTTTTCTATTGTAATTCAATGAAAAAGTTAATTCTTATTTTTTCTTTTGAATTTTAAAGATGAAGTTAAAGTTTATGTTTTCTATTGTAATTCAAAGAAAAAGTTAAGTCTTATGTTTTCTTTTGATTTTTATAGATGAAGTTAAGCTTTAAGTTTTGTATTGAATTATTTTGAAGATGTTAAGATGTAGTCACACTTTCCTTTTATTTTTGTATTATGGCTTTAGAGTATGGGGACATCCTCTGCCATGCTCGGGCCCTTGTGGCGGAAAGTGTTTAGTTGTGACGTCATGCCATAGCACTAACGCTTAATCACTTGTGTGCAGTGACCGGGCGGAGCTTACGAGCTCCGTGGGCTGCTGCGCGTACGTGATTGGCTAATTTTCCCCATAGGTTTAGCGCACCATAGGGTTAGTACACGCACATGGTTTGTAGACATGACGTAGCGTCTACATGTACCTGGTATATAAATGCGTGCCTGGGGAGCGCGCTCTGTTTAGAAGTTTAGCAGTTTGGGTTTAGAACGCGCATTGGTACATGGTTTAGCCTAGTTGTTGGGACTGATTGCTGCTAGTTGTGGAGATCGTTGTTAGGTGAGATACTATAGCTTGTTGAGTGTATAGTTTTGGGGCTCATCTGTTTAGAGTGTTGAGTGCCGGGTGTAGCTGCGACAGCGGGCAGAGAAGTAGGTGAATTACTGGTACCCTGCTTATGTGAAATTGCTTAGGCGATTTGTGTACAAAGTCTGTGTAGCTGTACTGGGGTTGCGCTGGTACGTGTGGCTGAATTCTGGCTTACACACACGGCGTAGCGAGTACCCTGCTAACGGACTGTATACATTGCTAAGCGGCTGTTGTGTGCTTGTAACGCTGTGTATTGCTGACTCGGTGATTCATTCCTAGCGCTGTGCATAGTTGCTCATTGCTGCCATTGTTGTCTAGTGCTTAATGCTGTGTTCGTTGTTGCATAGGCAAGCAGCGGGCTATCTCCAGTAACTAAGGACCCTGTTAATAAAACAACCCACCGAATCACATCCTAATTGTTGTACTTGATTATTGTTGAATAAATTACGATCATTGTTGTTTGAGATTACCGACAATTCTGCTTCCGGTGTTTATGTTTACAGGTTTATTGTGCAATTAATTAACAGAGATAAATAATCAACACTCATTCATAATCGGGCGGTAGATTTCCACCAAAACGGACCTGCACCCTTAGCCTTGAAGGTCGCTCTGAGTGATCTCTCGTCTAGGGAAGAGCCTTGGTTTGGGAAGATTGTCTTCACCCCACTAGGAGTCAGACTTATCCTAACAGACTTGGGTTGGCCCGGGGGGGGCTCCCGCCACAATATACTCACCGAGAATGTAGACCCAGAAAGTGCAACTGACCGAGTTGCCGGCCGCGTCACTGAACATGTATGTCACTTCGGTGGACTCGGTGAACAGGTACGGCGAGGTGATACCGGCAGGCGAAGTCACGAGAGTTAGGGTACCAGACTGGATGTTATCTTGGGCTGTAGGTATGCGAAAGGTCACGGAGACCCCGGATGGGTCTGAGGATGTGTCGTAAACGGGTCCCGGGCAATAGGTGAGGAAAGGGGGTGTTCGATCTAAGAGGAGTAATGAGACGGTAGACCATGTTTATTTAATGATGCATTCATTAATACCTGAGACAGTTTAGGGAACGTCTCAAAAGTCGGATTGGTCGGTTACTTTTTGGATAGCTGCAAATGTTCAACTTTACCTTTAAACATGCATCCCCTGTTGATTCACAATGTATAAGGTGCACGGTTACAAAGACAGAGTTGGGGGAGACTACTGGAAGGGATATCTAGAACGCAGCTGCTGGTAGCTGATGCTCACGTCAAGATTCTATGGATCAAATTAGGTTTTGCCCTTCACCGACGTTTAAACACTGTATACTCAGTGTGTTACCTCCCGAGTGAAAGCTGGAAAAAATCACTCGGGTGGGACTCGAACCCACGACCTCCTGCTTTCTAGTGCAGATGTCTTACCACTCGACCACCGAGCTAACGGGATCGGTTGGCTGGGTCGAATCTGATGTACATAGCAGCGGGTACCGCATAAACTATTATAAGATGGAATTTTGCGTCGGGTGATATAAATCAAATTAGGTTTTGCCCTTCACCGACGTTTAAACACTGTATACTCAGTGTGTTACCTCCCGAGTGAAAGCTGGAAAAAATCACTAACGGGATCAGGTGGGGCTCGAACCCACGACCTCCTGCTTTCTAGTGCAGATGTCTTACCACTCGACCACCGAGCTAACAGGATCGGTTGGCTGGTTCGAATCTGATGTACATAGCAGCGGGTACCGCATAAACTATTATAAGATGGAATTTTGCGTCGGGTGATATAAATCAAATTATGTAGCACAAGATTCTATGGCTTGTGCACACTTAATAATAATAATACCGGAGACTTATATAGCGCACGTATCTACCAACAATTAGGTACTCAAGGTGCTGGTAATTATGTATATTATTATAGACAGGTTAATGAAGTTTATGAGAAATATGAGACCCATTATGTAGCACCTTATATAATGGTTTACACGGTGCTGTGGCGCACATTGCAGCCACTGCTGCCAGAAACACCAAAGCAAATCCCTTCTCTTAGCGAAAAGTGTTACTGGGTTCTTTAACGTGCATTACACAACGCAAGGGACCTACGGCTTATATCTCCCATCCGAAGGATGAAGCATTAGTGGGGAAGTGCCTTGCTCAAGAGCACAAGCACCACGTCACAGTCAGGATTCGAACCCATATGTACCACGGCACACGAGTCGAACATCATGACCACTGGACCACAGCACCCCCACTTAGAATATAATAACTCGTACACAATTTGTATGTGCCATATGCAGTGCGTAGATGGGGGGGGGGGGGGGGGGGGGGGGGGGGGGGGGGGGGGGGGGGGGGGGGGGCGAACAGGGGCACGTGCCCCCCCCCCCCCCCCCGGTGGCCCCTGTTTGAAATCTTGAAATGAACAACAATTTATACACCGCGCTGTCGAAATGAGTGCTTGGACTGATGCTCATATTTAAGTCAATTATTGTATCAACCTGTATTATTACGTACCTGTACGCCAATGTATTTACACTTTTTCTGTCATGCCAAAACTGTTGGGCGAACTACGTCTGCAATGATTACACATGCTTGTATAATGTCGAGTGCACGGATATTATTATATACCTGCACAGCTTGTTGGTAGATTGGCTAATCCACCTTCCCACGACCCTTGAACTTCGCACAGGATAGACGAGACACCCCCGGTAAGAACCAATCCATTCAAACAGTAGAAGCTACACAGGGTACCGGCTAGTGGAGTACCAACTCTGCAGATGGATGGAACGACTTGTACACCAGTCGGCAAAACTAAGGCATCACAGCTGGCCACTGAAAATATCAATACGATCGAAAAGGAATGATTAGGATACTACAGGTTTGTACAACTTTGGCTTAAAACAGTACTGTCTGGGAATTAACAAACTGCTCTCATTTTTGCTGGATCCCAAGGACCAACGTTTGACCTATGACCAACCAACTTATGACCTATGGCCTATGGCCTATGACCTATGACCGACTGACCGAACGACTGACCGACCGACCAACTGACCCACTGTCCGACCGACTGACCGACTAGCTGAGTCATGACTGGCTGAATGACTAAATCATCTGACTGACTCCCCGACTGACTACAGACTGACTGAAAAATGACTGATAAACTTCTGACTGAATGAGTCCCAGACTGACTGAAAAATTACTCCCCGACTGACTGACTCCCCGACTCCCCCCCCCCCCCCCCCTCCGTAGAGAAATGACTGATTACAGGACTTACTAACTGACTGACTCCCCGACTATTGATGACTGAGTCATGACTGGCTGAATGTATGAGTCATGACTGCAGACTGACTGACTTCTGACTGACTTCTGACTGACTGACCTCTGACTGACTGACTGACTGATGGACTGACTGACGGTACGATTGACTGAGTTATTGAGTATAAATAACTGCGACTTAAAGGGAAAATACAACATTTGCAAACATCGAAAATAAAACTACCAAGTTGTTACGAAATACCTTACGAGGAAGTTGGCATCCTGTAAAATTATGGCACCTGGTGTGAAGCCATTTTCAAGAAAATGGTATATTTGTATACATTTCCAACGCTGGTCGGCCGACCACCGTTGGAAAAACCTAACTATTTTTCAATTACTGCTCCAAATTTACCATTTTTTAAGTCTAAATTTTGTTTTGCTAGCTATTGGTTCCATGTTCATGAACGGGTGCAGGCCAGCTAGACTGGTTCCCTTACCTTACAATTTTCCGGTATTTTTTATCCATTTCATCTTTAGTGGAGTCAGGGAGCCGGACTACTTGAATATTTTTGTTTTTCTTGGTTTTTCCAGCATTTTCGAACACAAAACTTCAAACATGTCAGTGTAACAATATTTGATCTATTAAACTAACCCCCCAAATAGTTCATTTCTGAAAATTACAGCAAAAGCCAATGATGTACATTCCCTTTAAGTATTATGTCTTCTATATTTTGATTTTATTTATTTAAAATTTTTTTGGGTGGGGGGAAGGGGGCCGCTTTTCTTCCCCTCCCTCCACGTGTGGTCCAGCGCTAGGACAAAGGATTCATGATTACTTTTCTTTACCTTACACCTCCACCTGGATCTGCCTTCGGCTACGATCTATTTCTGTATATAGAGTCCATACAACAATCTCCTAACTGGGAAACAAGGAATCAAATGTTTGACTTACGTTCGCAGCGGGGTGTTACCGCTCGCTGCCAGTATGTGTTGTTCCCATCAAACTCGCAGGTTGCTTCACTGGAACCGACCAACTGGTACCCGGCACTGCTGCACTGTACTCGACACACGCTGCCATAGACCCTCCGGCACTCGCCCACAAACTCTCCAAAGAACGGCGGGGCGAGGAGAGGGCATCGGCGAGCTGATGGTATAATTGGGCAAATTTTGGACACAAATTCTAGGTAAACTCTACAGGACTGGACTCTTCTTTAAGTAGCAAAATAAAGCAGGCCTGTTCCCTGATCCGAGGCTGGGGGTTTCTTCAAATCCCATTATGGAACTTTTTATGTACATGCGCAGAGCGTGAAGCAATACGGCGTGGGGTGCGGGGACTGCTTCAGGCCCCGTAAAATTCTAGATTCTAGATGCTTTTTGGTGTAATCTGAGGCACTTCCTGAAACTTTCTCCAGAATTTTTGAGCAAAACTTTATTAGTGCAGCACTGTGACCACTGTTTTGGCATTTTTCATTTTATTTCTTTATGTTTATTTCTGCACTCGTCACTAAGTGGGAGAGGGGGCCGGGAGGGGGCATTCCAACCCCGACCTCCCCCCCCCCCCCCCCCCCGCAGCGTACAGGCCTCATTTGATACTTCTTTTCTTCAATGTTATTGTTCTTAGCATCGTGAAATCATATACAGCATGATCAGCGCACTGACCTTCCACTATAACTTGAAAGTGACATGTCGCTAAATTTCCCGCCGAATCCATGGCATCACAGATGACCCGGTGGTCGCCAAGGTTAAATTGACCGGGCCCAGGGTCACAGGTCACTGTCGGCGGGAGGTCACCGTTATCTGTGGCCTCGATGGTCCAGTCCACCTGGGCTGATGTCTGACCGGCCTCGACGTGGACAATAAAGATGGTCGGGCAGCTTGTCCATCGCGGGCTCTGATGATCTGGAAAATAAAAGAAAGATACGAAGTGTGTAGCCCCTCTCCGTTGAACCAATGTTTCCATCATTTCTAATAAAGTTTCATGCTCTGTGCACAAGTACCCCATCAATGGCCATAAAAGAAGAGTTGGGGACACCTAGACAGTGGTTCCTTGTCCATCCACTGCGTATTTCGAATGATTCAACTTGGGCCCGGGGATAAGTCAGGGATACCATGCCGCAAGTTAAATTTGAACACATTTGCATGCCGACAACGCCTGACACTCACGCGAAGACGCTGTGGCAAATAGCTTTTGCACATTCAGGAAGTCCTGCGCACTTCGCGCGTGAACCATCACAGTATACAGTACGTTCACGCTGTGTGTCCCATCCACAGAGCTCTTGAAAGTGGTAAAAACATGCCCTCTTTTGTTGGCGCACGGAGCCCATATACACAGCATTTTACATGGTGGGTTACGCAGGCTCAAGACAATGAACAACTGCTGCCTTCATTTTTTGAAAGGATATAGAACTGCTTTCCACTTGAAACATTGAGAAATACATCAATGTCTGTTTCACATATAAGCTAGTCTTTCACATTTGTGCTGTCCTAGTCTCTACGCTTTGTATTTGGACAAAGTGACAAACCTGCATTCTAAAATATAAAAATTGCCTTTATGCACACACGTCTAATCTGTGTACAAACACAGGCTACGTATGCGTGATGGATGTGTGTGTGCTCTGATTTTACGTGTTTTTTTTTTTTCACAAAGCAAGAAATCTACTTAGTAATTAATATCTCCTTAATATAATTAAACATGCTTTTATGAAATAGGTGTGGCTATTTAACAACTCGGGTGATATGTATACAAAAAGGGATTTGAAATATCGACCAATTTTAAACACGCAGATTTAGTACTTCAATCGTCAAAATGACATTGCAGACATGTCTTTATACTCTTCCAAAAACAACTTGCAACGATCACTGAGGCTACAACTCTGAAGGTGGACATGTGTTTAAACAGACTCACCAACACACTGTACTGTCGAGATGTTGCGGGACCACTGCCCGTTCCTTAGACATGTGACATAGTCGCTGCCTGGGGAGTCTACTGCAAAACCATCACGGTCGCAGGATAGGAGACAGTCACGCCCAAAGACGGGACGGTCGTAGCATACCGCCGGGAGTAAAGTGACGCCAGTAACCGGGCTCAGGACTGGACACTCAGTCTCTGCAGTCGACCAATCAGGGGACGAGAAAAATTGAAGATGTCTCATCTGATTTTTTTTTGGCACAAGCCAAAGTCAAATAAGGTTATATGAAACATAAGGCTAATGACGAACTTGAGGAAATGAGACTTTAAATCACACTCTAGCCCATCTAATCATGATTTAAGCACACAACTTTTCTCCCTTCCCTCCCCCCCCCCCCCCCATTTTTTTGGCTCTAGAACTGTGCTGAGGTTCCTGGTAAGGCTAACATCGATTTGATTTTTTTTTTAAAATGATAAGGAAACGTCCTTACCATTTTTGTGAAAATCAAATCAATGATCAACTATGGTTAAATGAAAAATTGGGCCAGAGAGAAACGTTTGGATGAGACGTCAAACCTCACTGCACAGTCCACCACTTATCATGGGTTTAGGACCCCTCGCCCCCTATCGTCCCCCAATTGAGTTTTGCCCCAGAAGTGTACCCAGATTCCTGCAGGGTATAGGCTAACACCCATCTCTGATTGGGATTCCACAGTCGCGCTGAACCAAAATGTTTCAAAGATTTGAATTAGGCAACTATGAAGCAAAATAACGTAGAACAATTTACTGTTTAGTCACTCAGAATGCAAACCAGGGCCTCATGTTCATGAAGAATTGTTGTTGCAAAATCGACCTGGGTTAACCCAAGTCATTAAAATTACTTTTTTGGTTTGGTGTGATTGAACTGAATGTCTTAGTCCAGGTGCTTAAAGCTATAGTCCATCATTTGCAGCCATCCGAAAAGTAACTGGCGTAATTATTGTTGAAAAACAAACGTGGTTGAAAGATAGTAAGGGAACTAAACTCCCTGTGAAATTATTCTTTCTGGGAAGCTGTCATTTTGAAGTAATCAACAAAAGAAGGCATTTCCAACGGTGATTCTTAAGAAGCACCGTAGAAAATTTAAATTAGTAGTTCGTTTTGTTATTCAGCGCAGCGCGCACAAGGTTTGGAACGACGCACACGCGCGCGCGGTTGTTATAATTCGTCGGATCAGTGCGCTACGTCGCGTATAGCTGCAATTCAAAACAATTCAAAACATGATTCAGTAACTTTTGATTTGAAATTGAGATCTTACAATGCTGTTTTTCTCGGAATATACAGCTGAAGCTTAGCTGAAACTTCATCAGGTTAGTTGCTCAGTATCCTTCATTAGATTTTGAACCCTTTTGTTGCTTCAAACGAACAAAATGCACAAATTACAAATGATGGACTATAGCTTTAAGTGCCCAAGACTTTGGATTTGATTCATCATGTTGAGAGCACTCTCTACCGTCGCAGCAACGTGGTCATGCTTTTCAGGGACCAGCTATGGACATCATGAAAACAAATTCAAATCCAGTCATGAAAGTAACGCCGTTTTGACTTTGAGCTTCCGAACCCCTCCGCGACCCTTCTTTGGGCATTTTATACGGGGTTGCCCTTTCTCTTGTCAGAATTTTTTACGGAATGATTTCTAACCGTAATCACCTCAATGTTGATTCACACAAAAAAATGATGAGGAAAACAGTTGGAGATGGGTGAAAACGAATTTTACTTACGACCTTTCACATCCGGATTTTCGAACCTGGGTCTCACTGTTCGATCACATTTGTTTTGTGTGTCCCAAAAGACAGTTTAGTCTCCTATTTAAGTCTCAGTTTTTATCCAATGACCGCCATAAAGTATTTCATAAATGTTCATCTTTGTATGAGTGCTCCGATAGTTCCACTAGTCCACATGCATTTTATAGATTTTCGGAAGTGAGAGGCCAATGTTTGGCACGATATTGCTCTTTTACGTCATGCAATTTTTCATTTTCCACAAATTGAGAAACTAGTAACAATTTTACAAAGGTCTTTTCTGAAAATGATTTTGTTAAGAAATCAATGTACAAATATAATTTCTAAAGCTCCAACTTTTACACGCTAATAATAATAAATAATAATAATAATAATGTAAGTTTCTATAGCGCCGAATCCATTGAAAAATTGTTTGAGGGGACTGAATATAAGTGCACCACCAGGGGTAAACTTTCAGGCTCTATAGCATCCCATAATTTTTGTTTTTTTAAACAAAACAACGTTATGACTACCAGTGCAGACGAGATCAGTCCCTGACCAGGTTCCATCTTCCCGGCAGCGCGATCTCCCATCGTCGGTCGTCACTCTCCCGTAGCCGTTCACGCATAGCAGTAGAAGGACCCACCGTGCCGTAAGGCTCTCTGGCCGTCGCGTCAATGCTGCAACCCAACTTGATGGCATTTGGAGGCGTGGGCTGGGACAGGCATTGCACAACTATAGAGCGGGGACAAAATCAGGACCGCTTCTTTTGGTTATTTTATACACCCCTATTAGGCAACTGTCATCACAGTTGGTACTGCCCCAGCTATAGACCTTACTTTTACTCCATTACTACTGAGGCATAAAGTATTAATAATAATAGTCTATTCGCTGCCATAGTCCTGACATCACTCGTCAATCCTGGTTGTAGGATGCGGCCCCCCCCCCCCAAAAAAAACCTGGTTCTTTTTTAAGATCACAGAAGATGTTGACTGTCCTGAACATTTGACTCAGCTTATCACCATTCAACCTCCGTCTCATTATGGTCTTTGTATTTTTAATCAGAACAGTGCATTCTTCTTAAATATCCAACAACTCATAGCAGAACTTCCTTAGGTGATCAGGCCTTTCAATATGCTTCCCCTTCTCTATGGAACAAGTTACCGGTTCATGTCAGAAATGCCACAAGCTTAAAGGGAATATACATCATTTGCTTTTGCTGTCATTTTCAGAAATAGATGGAATTGGGGGGTTGGAAATATATAGCAAATATAGTTACACTGACTTTTTGTAGGTTTTGGGTTCGAAAATGCTATAAAAACCAAGAAAAACAATCATTTTCCTGTAGTCTGGTTCCCTGACTCCATTTAAGAAGAAACAGAGCAGTTTACATATATTGGGGAATTGTAAGGTCAGGGAACCAGTCTAGCTGGCTTGTACCCGTTCATAGGTGTGTAATTGATGGCAAACAAGTGCGATGGTCAACTGGGGCCAGTATTTGAAAAAAAGCCAGTTTTTTTCCAACGCTGATCGGCCGATCAGCTTTGGAAATTGATACAAAAATACCACTTTTCTTGAAAATGACAGTATACCAGGTGCCATGATTTTACAGGATGCTTCACACTGTCATTCACTAACAGTCCAGCAAGGTATTTCAAAATGATTTGGTAGTTTTATTTTTTGATGTTTGCAAATGTTGTATTTTCCCTTTAAACTGTTTTAAGACGCTCCTGAAAACTCATCGTTTCCAAAATGCTTTTTGATTTGTAACGGATTTTTTATAGCAAGTATTTTCAATGAATTTTACTTGATTTATTTCTCATCCTGATTTGTAATTTCAATGGTTCTAGTGTTTTAATACATTGTAAGTATTTTTAATGAATTCAATTAACTTGTATGTAATACTAATTGTTACTTACGTACTTCTGATCCTGATTCGTAATTTTAATGTATCTGGTGATTTTAATGTATTTTAATATCAACACTAGTTTTATTCCCAGTATTGTTTTATTGTTGTTCAGCGCATTTGAATATGTTTACATAAAATTTGCACTTTACAAATATCATTAATACTAAGAAAGGCCACTACAATTAACACTTACTTGTACAAACAGCAGGCTGCCCTCCAGTCCAGCCGTCAAGCCGTTGCTCATCAGCTGGCATGTTCTGGTCTGCGATCCACTCGTCAAAACGTAACCGGTGTTACAAGTGTGGCTGCAAACGTGTCCACGATGCGACTGGCAAAGTCGCAGAGGACGGTGCCAAACATCGGGGCTGGGAGACTCTGACAACGATGGACTGGTGGGAGGAAATTTCACAAACAAAAAAGGGTAATAAGAGATAGACGTTACAGTAGCCTTTCACAAGGCTATCTTAATTTAAGCCAATGTTAAACTGTTGAATTAAGCCACACGTGAAGCAGAGATGTATGACGAGATTCAGGCTCAGTCTGACTCAACTCAAGTGACATTTTGGTGACTCAGACTTTATTAAATTTGGACTAAAAGTTTGAAGATTCACTTGTCTGAAGATGTGACTTGATCAGAGACTACAATGTACATGCCGAGTGACAAAGTCACTGTGACAAAGTCACTGACGAGGCTTAAGTTGCACTTCATCAAAATTTCACACCGTATTCTCAATAGATACACAATTTTACCAACAGGACGACAATTTTGCCAACTAATATGTGACCTGTTCTGTCAAAATCAGACTTTTCTGGGCATAAGGTCGAAAATGATATTTTTACATATTGTTAACATATGCTCTTTTTCCCTTTTAATAGGTGGTTTAATTTTTGAAACCGGTCATTCCTGGGCAGAGTTATGCTATTTTGAAGTTCATTGTGTCGAAAAGTAGAAAACGGAGAAAATGGCCACAAACGTCACAAAACAGTTATTTCTTAAACTGATATACCTTATCAAAATCATCAAAAATAGAATATGTAGAGTTCAAATTAGGGTTTCAAACTTTTATAATATATTTTAGACATGTTCAGGATTACAAATATGCAAAAATTTAAAAATCAATAAAAATTACCCCACAGCATTTTTTGGCCCTATCTCAATTTCAACCTCTGCCCAGAAGCGTCTGCTTTGGACAGAACAGGTCACATATGATTAGTGGGGTGCGACACCACCCCAACCCCTCCTCTAGTGACAATAGGCACAACCAGGCTCTGAATCATGGGCGTCGCCAAGTTTTGTTTTCTAGAGGGGAACAAACACTCATCCGAAGTGAAGGGAGAAATCAACGGGAGGGGTAAATTGATGCCTAAATAAATATAGCCTAATTTAGCATTCATCTATACACCTAGAACAGTTGACCAATTCCTATTGGACGAGAACCCGTCACATGGCCGTTTTTTATATGGTTGATAAAGACATGGCTTTCACAGTCCTAAATTCACACACCACCAGTACATCTGCATACTGTACAACATAACGCAGTACGCGCAGGCCTATCTCCATATAAGGAGTTGTTTACCAGAGGGCCTATACTGTATAACTAGAGGGGTGTTTTTTTTAAGAAATCATTGGAAATTCATAATTTTTGACTTTATTTTAACTCTTGTTGATAGAAAAATTTTGATTTATTTTTTTTTGACCGAAAAGGTATTTCTGAATGGGAGAAAAATTGGCTCGGGTAATTATCAGCATCCATACTCCAATCAGTCTTAAAAGAGTGTTTAATACCTCCCAATCACACATTTATTCCCTTAGTAAAAGCTTATGTCCCTCATTTT